GTTCTACGCCCCAAATTACCCATAAAACATGTATCACAGGCTGCGAATATCAGTTTTGATTTTCGGGGATATGTGCCTGCCCGGTTGACCTGACCTTGACCCTGACCTATGCTTGACTGACCCCTGCATGGAGCTGACACTCTTGTAGGCCTTATATGATGGATTGTGCACCGTTTTGACAGAGTTTATGACGAGAGGCGCCCATTGCGAAGTCCTGAAGTCCATGCTACTGAAAGCCCGATTTCAGGTGTTTGACCTGACCTTGACCTGACCTGTGACCTCAAAATTCAACTTTAAAGTACTCATCTGAACCGTCTCGTCGCGTTCTTTCGTCTGCCGCCTCGTGCGTTTCGCTGCGCCTATTGACTCGAGTTATCGGCTCCCCCAGCAAACGGTGGGTGGCGAAATACCCCAGCAACTGCCGGGTTAAGGCCCTACATCGGTGGCTCTGGGGTCCCCAGTCCCCACACCGACGCCTCAATGGGCCACACACCTATGCATCTCGAGGCTCTATAGGTGCATCAGAAGGACCCACACCGACACCTCTGAGGGCCCCACACCAGTATCTCTGAGCTCTGAAGGCCCCACACCGGTGACTCTGAGGACTCACCGGCGCCTGAGAGCACCATGTTGATGTTTAACGGCTTCAAAGGCCACTGAAGGCACCACACAAGCTCTCACTGAGCTCTTATGTCCCATACCGGCGTCCCTTAGGGTCCACATCTGTCGGGCACCCATCGGCGACTCTGAAGGTCCCACACTGACACTGTCGACTCCGAGGGCCCCACCTGCGTCTGAGAGCATCGTGATGTCTCTAAGAACCACACAGGGCTTATGAAGGCGCCTGGCAAGTTCTAACGCTTTAGCTCTGATAAGTCTCATGCCGCCCTCTGCATATAACAGTCCAACGCCGGCGCTTAGGTGATAAGGGCTCCTACATGCGCAAGAGAGTTGATAATTGATATGAATTCATAGGAAAAGGGGCGCCCGCCTGTGTGCAAGAGAACGGCGCCTGCCAGGGTCGTCGCCATGGATTTTTGACTGGGGGGGGGGGGGGACATATCGGCAGACTTAAAACCCAAAAGTAGGTATTGCCGCCGCACCCTTAGCCCAATACACTATCTGTGTTAAAGGTCATACAAGCCGGTTTTTTACAGTACACATCTGAAGTCCGATTCAATTTGACACAATTAGGGACAAAGCCGCTGCTCTTCTTTTAGGGTGTACCAATTTAATGGTATACTTTTCAGTGTCTCAAGAGTAAATGTATTTTTTATTTAAATGATGGCAAATATTTCGACCCCATTGAGGAGCCTTTTTCAATGCGAAATTACATGGAATAACCTGAGTAAAAGAAAAAATGATTTTTAAGTCCCATTTAGGTGTACCAAATGTTGACGCATGCCACCAATCTGAATCTGATACATAATGCATTCATATGCCCGTGTAGGAGGAGGGGAGATATTACAGCCACAATCTCTCTTTTTGACTGCTGTAATGACTAATGGCAAGAACATTTGTCAAAATACAGCCCTAAAACACAGCCTTTGCAAGCCTTGTAGCATGTAAGAGGTCAGAACACCTAAGGTCGGGTCACCGAGTCAAGCAGCCTCTAAGTTTTGTGGTCCTGCATCAACCGTGCAGCTTGTTTCCTTGAAGCTGGAAATTTAGTGTAAGTCTGCACAACTGCGGGGTTGAAGCCGGAGACGGTCGGAGTTTACTTTTCTGAAAATAGTCATTTTTAAGCATCCTCGGGTGTTTATTTTGGGGGATTTGCCCCTCGGCTCGGATTCCTCAACCGGGGGGACGCGTCTCCCTGTCCCTCCGTTTTCGACGCCCATGGCGCCTGCGATGCCCAGTACGGCCGCCTGTGATGCTCATAGGGGTGTCTGATTGCGAAAGACGGTACATATGATGCCTACTAGGGTGTCGACATGCAATTGAGGGGCGACTGCCAATGCCATAGCGGCTCCTCCGTACGAAAGACGGGCGTCTGCACTGCATGCCAAAGAGGAGCGGCTCTGAGGCAGTAAGGGCACCTACATGCAATGAAGGGGCGCCTCCGAGGCCTACGTATATGGGCGTCCACATGCAATAGCTCTTATGAGGGGCGCCTATCAATGCCATAGGGGTGCATTCATACGAAACAGGGGCGCCGGCATGGCAAAGAGAGGCGCCTCCAATGTCAATAAAAGAGTGGCGCCTAAGACAAGGGCACATTTTATGCAACAAGGGGCGCCTGTTGGTCATATAGGGATGTTTCTGATGATGAATATAGGGTGCTTATATGCCAAAGAGGGGCGCCTATGGAGCTAGGGGCGCCTGGGAAACGAGGAAGACATTTGTATAAGGGGTTTCAGGGGTCATGCGCCGTTTAAGACAAATAGATTCTAAGTAAAAAAAAAATCGGAGAGGGGAATAACTTTTAAAAATAGTGCGGACTTTCCGCGCTGTTCGCTTCAGCGGTTACGCCCCTAGCCCCTGGGTACATCTGCCCGATCTCAGAAGCTAGATTTGGAGGTCATACTTGAAAGCAGTACGATGAAAAAATTGGAGGCCTCTGAAAATAGGAGGCCCCCTGGAAAAGGAAGCCCCTCAACAGGGTGGCCCGCCCACTTTCATGACGTTCCTACGCCCGTGGCACGTGGAACCCCAACTTGATATAAAAATCCACCCCTGATGGTTGATCATGACAATGCTGTTTAGTTAGCATATGGATGAAGTATTCCTAATCCTAATCCTAATCCATGGAATACCTAATCCATGGTTAGCATATCCAACAAAACTGGCATTTGTCACTTCATTTAGCTAAAATTTTTGGTGGAGATTTTTCCAAGTGAATCGCAGGCCACATGGGGTGACTTTGCCACCATGTTATCAATGCAAAAATGAAACACTTGTCCGATGCAATTAAAAAAAAAGGTAGCATCATTTTGATCTCCAAATTGGTTTTTAGAAAGTTAAAGTCTACATATATATTAAAAATTAGCACAGAAATGCACAGTGGTAGTATAGAAAAGCAAAAAACTGCCAAAATAAAACAATGGATGAAGCTGGGCCAATTTTTTCAGCACATCCTTATTCCAAGATCATATACATTTCCTGAGTTGGCCAGTATGACTGGCTGAAGAAATATGTACCATTTTATAGATCAAAACGCTGGTAATAAGGGTGCCGGAAAGTTGCCACAAGAACGTCCTCTTTCTGATCCTCTGAATGCCACTGGAAGAAAGCGGCAAGGTCATAGAGTACCGATATAATCATATTTCTCACTTATTTCTCTATTCTGAACCATTTTTCATTTTCTTTTTACTATAAAATGTCAATTATTTTCAACAAGTATAATGTATTATAAAAAGCAATGTATCTCTCCTTTTTGTACATCATTTAAGAGCGAACATCATCAAATGGCTTTATATTTTTCCCAAATTAAGCAATTAAGGATGGTTCCCCTTCCCCATAAAACTGAAAAAAATGTTTGGGAAATATTTGTTAGCGTTAAAAAGCCATTGCTTGGCATAGTGGCACAGTGCTCCATTTTTCAGACTTTTTGGTGGCAAATCACACCTAATGGGGAAAATATTTTCATCCCTGAAATATGAATGACCGACATTACTTCATCTTTGAAAAAAGTTTCATGTAGTCCCAACAGCCAGTTTACACGTCACTTGATAGTTGATGCACCCACATCCTTTTGTTTCACACCCTGTCAAGATCCTGACATGAAATCCTAGTTTATCAGTTGGAATAAAAATTGGCATTGTGCAAAATTGGCATTGGGCACCATTGTGCAAAAATACTTCAGTTATTTACTTCCTTTTTTCTCATCCTTGGATTTTTTTTTTCTTCATCGGCACACCCAACCAATATCCAATTTTAGAACACTGTAGTGGCAGTCACCCCTTTTTCGGTTTAACTTTGCCACAACTCATTTTCTTTAAAAAACTATATTTTCAGGCAAGATATAAATACAATAATAGCAAAACCAAAAGAGCCAATCTTCATCCATGTTTTGAACATAGAGTCATCCCAATATGTTAACAAGTTTTAATAATACAAGCATCTTAAGTTGAAAACATGGCAAAGTCAACCCTGTTTACGGTATACATTTCATGAATATTGTTGCTTTCATCAATCGCTGACAGTTTAAAAGCGATCATTCATTCGGAATAGCAATGGTGAGCATTTTACCTTTCTGAGGTTGTCACTTACGATGACCTGGTGGACGACGGTGAAAACAGGGCGCCTGGGGCGATCTGATCAAGGTTCGTGAAATTCACACGCGACTTTTAGCATGTAGAAGGCCCACGGAGGGGGAAAAGTTCCAAATGTCACGTGACTAATATGCCCTCTGGCGCCCTGTTTTCACCAGCGTCCGACCTGGTGACCTGACGTTGCATGACCCGGGCCTCACATTTTTACAACATGTGCAGAAAAGATGCATGATAAGGTGTGTTAAAAACGGGGGCGCTGCGCACAGCTGTTTTCCAGATATTTGCATAAAAACTGAGGGGGGGCATGACAACATCCCCCAGCACAGCGCGGGTTTGACGACCCTCGATTTTGACGACAGTTTGGCGCCCCTTCATATGAAGCGCCCCCGGATTGCCATGTCACCCCTATTTTGACTTGCCACCCCCCTCCCAAAAATTCCTGGATCCGCCCCTGCTACCCATGTGACCGTCATACCCCATGGAGTGGGGTAAGACAGGTTTTTGCAAGGTTTTGCAAAAATAGCTGCAGTCTATTTGTTGAATCAGCTCTAAGTCTCATCTTCTGGCAAATGGAAGTGAAATGTCTAAAAAAGGTTTCACTCAGTTGCCCGTTTCTATGATGTTGTTTCTTACAGGCCGAAAAATGGCTCCAAAGGGTGTCCGTCTTACCCCACATTCCCCTAACTGAGGAAGCGATATTAACAACTGCTTTTTCCTCTCCGATATGGCTTGCTGGTTCGTGAATAAGATACGAATCATGCAAAAATATGTGTTGATAAAACTCACTTGTTCTGAGAGCAGTCACCCAAAAATATTTATAAAAACGATACACCTCAACCGGCTCTTGAATTTGTCGGACGGTGGCCGGACCAAGGCTATCCCCGCGTTCGATGTCTCTCGGACGGCGAAGATTCTACGCCGTCCGGCCAATCACGTTCCATAACCGCAGCCGAGCCCCCGCTAACCTTGAACGCGATTGGTCGGACGACGTAGAATCTTCGTCGTCCGAGAGACATCGAACGCGGGGTATATCAAGGCCGTATATGGCTATATAAAAACCGCATATTTACGTCTGGACACCTTTCCATGCTTCTATCCTCAGGATACTGAAATCCAAGATACCTATAACAAACAGGACGTCTGTATACTTAGCGAATTATTGACATTGACGTTCAGCGACAGATTCGCGGACCCCTAGGAATCCGCTGAAAATCGCTACATAAGGGTAGCTTGGGGCGTAGAATCGCGTGGTGCAATCCGTTAAGCCCTACACCTAATACTTTTCCCGCTAGAGGGCAGCAAAGTTCCAGCGACAGATTCGCCCCACCCCTAGGAATCCGCTGAAAATCCCTACATAGGGGTAAATTGGGGCGTAGAGTCGCGTGGTGCAATCCGTTAAGCCCTACACCTAATACTTTTCCCGCTAGAGGGCAGCAAAGTTCCAGCGACAGATTCGCCGGACCCCTAGAAATCCGCTGAAAATCCCTACATAGGGGTAACTTGGGGCGTAGAGTCGCGTGGTGTAATCCGTTTAACCATACACCTAATACTTTTCCCGCTAGAGGGCAGCAAAGTTCCAGCGACAGATTCGCCGGACCCCTATGTTTCCGCTGAAAATCCCTACATAGGGGTAACTTGGGGCGTAGAGTCGCGTGGTGCAATCAGTTAAACCCTACACCTAATACTTTTCCCGCTAGAGGGCAGCAAAGTTCCAGCGACAGATTCGCCCCACCCCTAGGAATCCGCTGAAAATCCCTACATAGGGGTAAATTGGGGCGTAGAGTCGCGTGGTGCAATCCGTTAAGCCCTTCACCTAATACTTTTTCCGCTAGAGGGCAGCATAGTTCCAGCGACAGATTCGCCGGACCCCTAGGAATCCGCTGAAAATCCCTACATAGGAGTAACCCAGTAAACATGCCGACGTCGGCCCGACGTCGGGCCGAGGCTCGGCCCGACGTCGGCCCAACGTCGGTTCAACCTCGGCCCGACATCGGCTGGACGTCGGATATGCCCGCATGTTCCGACGTCCAGCCGAAGTCCAGCCGACGTCGAGCCGACGTCGGGCCGAGGTCGTTTGCCGAGGTTGACGAGATCGTTCGTCGTTGGACCGACGGGGCCGACGTCGGCATGTTTATTGGGACAACGCGCCAAAAATATCAACCGGCGGCGGGATTCGAGCCCCCCAGTCGCCGACGTCGGCACGTTTACTGGGACAACACGCCAAAAGCATCAGCCGGCGATGGGATACGAACCACGTGTCATTTGAACGCGAGGTCAGTGCGCTAACCACTACACCACGCAGGCAGATAGCGACTTTCGTTTGTTTTGTTGGGTTATGCCCTTTCGGTCTGACAAGACCATTTCAGAGCCGGAAGGATGATAGGATGGAGACATTGGTCTTCTTGGCGAGCACCCTGGGTCCAGTTCATAGAGTCCCTGGTCCCATTGCTGTTACGTGACACTTGTTGGGAAGGGCGACCCCACAATGGATTCATATAGCCACTCTTAGACTTACACACCTGCACCAACGTTTCCCAAAGTGTCCCTTTGATAAGTGGCACTTTGGCAAAGTGACACTTGCCGACTGGCCTTTCTATATGAACTGGGCCCGGCCTTGGTGAGTTGCCGGGGCTGAGCCTGACCAAAGGATAGGCCGAGCAGCCCCCAAGCACTCACCGCACCCGGCTACGGGCGAGCTCGGCTTACGGGCAATCCCAAATGGGATAAAGTTTCCCGTCCAGTCCAGATCAGGGGGTTGCGGTGTGGAGGAAGATTTGAGTTTCCTGAGGATATTTTGAATACAGAAGCTCTTTATGAAACATGAAACATGTATTTTATATTATTTTAACGGTCAAAACAGCGGCCGATGTCGGTCCGACGTCGCCCCGACGTCGGCCCGACGTCGGCTGGACCTCAGCAATTGATCTCGGTCCGACGTCGGCCCGACGTCGGCTGGACCTCGGCTAGACGTCGGAACATGCGGGCATATCCGACATCCAGCCGACGTCGTGCCGAGGTTGGACCGACGTCGGGCCGACGTCGGCATGCCGATGCCGAGTTGCCGACGTCACCCCGACGTCGGCCGACGTCGGGCCGACGTCGGCATGTTTACTGGGAACTTGGGGCGTAGAGTCGCGTGGTGCAATCTGTTAAGCCCTACACCTAATACTTTTCCCGCTAGAGGGCAGCAAAGTTCCAGCGACAGATTCGCCGCACCCCTAGGAATCCGCTGAAAATCCCTACATAGGGGTAAATTGGGGCGTAGAGTCGCGTGGTGCAATCCGTTAAGCCCTACACCTAATACTTTTCCCGCTAGAGGGCAGCAAAGTTCCAGCGACAGATTCGCCGGACCCCTAGGAATCAGCTGAAAATCCCTACATAGAGGTAACTTGTTGCGTGGAGTCGCGTGGTGCAATCTGTTAGGCCCTACACCTAATACTTTTCCCGCTAGAGGGCAGCAAAGTTCCAGCGACAGATTCGCCAGACCCCTAGGAATCCGCTGAAAATCCCTACATAGCGGTAACTTGGGGCGTAGAGTCGCGTGGTGTAATCCGTTAAGTCCTACACCTAATACTTTTCCCGCTAGAGGGCAGCAAAGTTCCAGCGACAGGTTCGCCGGACCCCTAGGAATCCGCTGAAAATCCTTACATAGGGGTAAATTGGGGCGTAGAGTCGCGTGGTGTAATCCGTTTAACCCTACACCTAATACTTTTCCCGCTAGAGGGCAGCAAAGTTCCAGCGACAGATTCGCCGGACCCCTATGATTCCGCTGAAAATCCCTACATAGTGGTAACTTGGGGCGTAGAGTCGCGTGGTGCAATCAGTTTAACCCTACACCTAATACTTTTCCCGCTAGAGGGCAGCAAAGTTCCAGCGACAGATTCGCCGGACCCCAGGATTCCGCTGAAATAGGGGTAACTTGGTCACCGGACCCCTGGGATTCCGCTGAAAATCACTACATAGGGGTAACTTGGGGCGTAGAGTCGCGTGGTGCAATCCGTTAAACCCTACACCTAATACTTTTCCCGCTAGAGGGCAGCAAAGCTCCAGCGACAGATTTGCCGGACCCCTAGGATTCCGCTGGAAATCCCTACATAGGGGTAACTTGGGGCGTAGAGTCGCGTGGTGCAATCCGTTAAACCCTACACCTAATACTTTTCCCGCTAGAGGGCAGCAAATTTCCAGTGACAGATTCGCCGGACCCCTAGGAATCCGCTGAAAATTCCCATAAAGGGGTAACTTGGGGCGTAGAGTCGCATGGTGCAATCCGTTAAACCCTACACCAAATACTTTTCCCGCTAGAGGGCAGCAAAGTTCCAGCGACAGATTCACCGGACCCCTAGGATTCCGCTGAAAATCCCTATATAGGGGTAACTTGGGGCGTAGAGTCGCGAGGTGCAATCCGTTAAACCCTACACCAAATACTTTTCCCGCTAGAGGGCAGCAAAGTTCCAGCGACAGATTCGCCGGACCCCTAGGATTCCGCTGAAAATCCCTACATAGGGGTAACTTGGGGCGTAGATTCGCTGCTGCAATCCGTTAAACCCTACACCTAATACTTTTCCCGCTAGAGGGCAGCAAAGTTCCAGCGACAGATTCGCCGGACCCCTAGGATTCCGCTGAAATAGGGGTAACTTGGTCGCCGGACCCCTAGGATTCCGCTGAAAATCCCTATATAGGAGTAACTTGGGGCGTAGAGTCGCGTACTGCAATCCGTTAAACCCTACACCTAATACTTCTCCCGCTAGAGGGCAGCAAAGTTCCAGCGACAGATTCGCTGGACCCCTAAGATTCCGCTGAAAATCACTACACAGGGGTAACTTGGGGCGTAGAGTCGTGTGGTGTAATCCGTTAAACCCTACACCTAATACTTTTCCCGCTAGAGGGCAGCAAAGTTCCAGCGACAGATTCGCCGGACCCCTAGGATTCCGCTGAAAATCACTACACAAGGGTAACTTGGGACGTAGAGTCGCGTGGTGCAATCCGTTAAACCCTACACCTAATACGTTTCCCGCTAGAGGGCAGTAAAATTCCAGCGACAGATTCGCCGGACCCCTAGGATTCCGCTGAAATAGGGGTAACTTGGTCGCCGGACCCCTGGGATTCCGCTGCAAATCATTACATAGGGGTAACTTGGGGCGTAGAGTCGCGTGGTGCAATCCGTTAAACCCTACACCTAATACTTTTGCCGCTAGAGGGAACTGTCGCTGGAACTTTGCTGCCCTCTAGCGGGAAAAGTATTAGGTGTAGGGTTTAACGGATTACACCACACGACTTTACGCCCCAAGTTACCCCTATGTAGGGATTTTCAGCGGATTCCTAGGGGTCCGGCGAATCTGTCGCTTGAACTTTGCTGCCCTCTAGCGGGAAAAGTATTAGGTGTAGGGTTTAACGGACTGCACCACGCGACTTTCCTCCCCCCAAGTTACCCCTATGTAGGGATTTTCAGCGGATTCCTAGGGGTCCGGCGAATCTGTCGCTGGAACTTTGCTGCCCTCTAGCGGGAAAAGTATTGGGTGTAGGGTTTAACGGATTGCACCACGCGACTCTACGCCCCAGGTTACCTCTATGTAGGGATTTTCAGCGGATTCCTAGGGGTCCGGCGAACCTGTCGCTGGAACTTTGCTGCCCTCTAGCGGGAAAAGTATTAGGTGTAGGGATTAACGGATTGCACCACGCGACTCTACGCCCCAAGTTTCCCATATATAGGAATTTTCAGCGGAATCCTAGGGGTCCGGCGACCAAGTTACCCTTATTTCAGCGGAATTCTAGGGGTACGGCGAATCTGTCGCTGGAACTTTGCTGCCCTCTAGCGGGAAAAGTATTAGGTGTAGGGTTTAACGGATTGCACCACGCGACTCTACGCCCCAAGTTACCCCTATGTAGGGATTT